GCACACAAAAACACACAACAACAATAATGAAAGCCACTCAGCAAGACACCGCCACACCTTGACATGAACACAGCTGTGAGACACTGATACACCAAGGTTATGAAACCTTACCGAGCTGTTAGTACAGTGCTGTCAATGTTAGCACATGGTGGCAAGTCTGTTAACTTAGTTGTCAGACCTTGTAAGTTGGACAGAGCAAGTCCAACACTGTTTAAATAATTTGTTAAAATACACATGCTAACAATGCAAAAATCATAATTGTTTGTTATCAAATCAGAATTAAGAGGCAATCAAAAAACCAGAAAATTGGGACCTATAATCAATTACAAAATTAGTCAATAGAAATAGCACAGAAATTACAGAGATGATGGTATTAGCAGAGGATGTTAGAACAGCTATTACAAATATGCTTTATATGTTCAAAGAGGTAGAGGAAAACATGAATATAATGAGGAGACAAATGGGATATCTAAAAAAGACCCAAATGGAACAAATACAAATATACATATCTAAAATAAAAAATATACTGTGTGGGATTATCAACAGATATGACACTGCAGAATAAAAAGATAAGTGAACTTGAAGAAAGAGCAGTAAAAACTGTCCAAGAGGAAGTGCACAGAGGAAAAAAACTGGGAGGAAAACAGAAGAGTTCATCAACAACATGTGGAACAAAATTAAATGGCTTAACATATGTGTAATTGGAATCCAAAGGGGGGAAAAGAGTAGAGGCGCAAAAAAATTATAAAGAAATAATAGTCAAAATATTCTGAATTTGATGAAAGCTGTATATCCATAGATCCAAGCAGAATAAACCTTAAGAAAACTACTAGAATGAACATCATAAACAAAGCGCTGGAAGCCAGTAAAAAAGAGAATATTTTAAGAGTGGCAAGAGAACAAAAGACGTATTACATACAGAGGACTGAAGATAAGAATGAGTCCATACTTCACATCAGGAAACATGCAATGGAGCAACATCTTTAAGTGCTGATAGGAAAAAACTATCAACCTAAAAGTTTCTACCCAGTGAAATTATCTTTCAAAATTGAAGGCAAAATAAAGATTATTTTCAGGCAAACAAAAGTTGAGAGAATTCATTGCCAGCTGATTTGCACTACACAAAGGAAATTCTTTAAGCAGACGGAAAATGATACAAGATGGAAATTAGAATCTACATGAATAAGTTTAGTTCACTGAAAACTATAAATATATGGGTGAAAAGACATTTTCTCACTTTTATTCTCTTTACAGTATAATTTACTATTTAAAGCAAAAATAAATATAATGCATTGTGGCATTTAAAACAAAAGTAGACAAAATGTATGACAAAAAATGTACAAAAAATAGGGGAAAATGAAATAAAAGTAGGAGAAAAATGAAATGTTTAAGATTCTTATACTATGTACTATATATACTATATGTAAAGCATACGAATACACTATTACAGCATTTGAAGGTAAACTGTGATAAATTAAAGGCTTATGTTAAAATAATAGTGATGGATCATTCTCTTTAATTCTGTTTCTTAGTTTCCACACCTGCTGTGAGGGCCAGTCAATGTTGGAATAAGAACAGGCATCAAAGACCCTCTTTTGCCTAAAATCCAGTCATTAGATAAATTTAGCACTCTTTGCTTGCTAGGATTTAAAAAGGTCAAATTCCTGATATTGCTTTGACCAATGGTTGTGGGGCCTTTAGAAAATACCAAACAGAAGTCCATGAGTTTATGTCTGTGAAATAATAGAGTCAATTGAATCAGACAAAAAAATATAGAACTGTAACTTTAGTTTCAAGATAGCAGACACATGGCAGGCACTCTCAACAATGCATCTTAGAAATGACTGAAAAGTTATTTAAAAAAAAAAAAGGTGCAGTGTTCCAGTAATAGTACAATTGCTTATATTGAATGAATTCTCCTGCAGACAACAACTATATACTGGAAGGCAGCCAAAAGGTGGTAGAAACTGGAGATTTAGAATTTGAAAGAAGGAAACTACATTAGGTAAGATATATGGTTCATAGGTTTTGCCCCTGAGGGTATTACTAAATCTTTGCAGTACCTGGAGAGCAGAACTGAAAGTGGAAAGCTAAGTTTTACTGACCTGAGTAGTCAAAAAAGGAATTTGGGACTACCAGAGTGGTTGGAAATTGAGGGGGAAGGAAATTATAGGAAAGAGTGAAATAGAGAGGGTGAAAGCCCAAATCTGCATGTAAAAATGCCTCTTAAATCCACGGCTCTTTTAAATTTTATTTTTATTTAAAATTTATTTTTATTTAAAAAGTTTTATTGAGCTATATAAAATACAACATTGTATTAATTTAAGGTGTACAACATAATGATTTGGTGTATACATTGCAAAATGATTGCCATAATAAGTTTAGTTAATGTCCGTCACCTCACAGTTACAATATTTTTTGTGATGAAAACTTTTGAGATATACTCTTAGCAACATTCAAATATACAAATTAATATTGTTAACTAAAGTTGCCACGCTGTACATTACACTCCCAGAACTTATTCATCTTATAATTGGAAGTTTTTACCTTTGATCACCTTCACTCACTTCCCTCACCTCCCACCCTTTGCCTCTGGCAACCACCAACCAATCTGTTCTGTTTCTATGAGTTCTTTTTTTTTTTTAGATTCTGCATATAAGTCAGATCATGCAGTAGTTGTCTTCCTCTATCTTACTTCATTTAGCATGCCTTCATGTCGCAAATGACAAGATTTCCTTGTTTATTAATGGCTGAATAATATTCCATTTATATATACATTTTATTTACCCATTAATCTGTCAATGGACACTTACATTGTATCCATTCATTGGCTATTGTTAACTAATGCTGCGGTGACCACAGGAACGCAGATATGTCTTCGAGATAGTGATTTTACTTCCTTCAGATATATACCCAGAAGTGGATTCGCTGGGTCATATGGTAAACCTATTTTTAATTTTTTGAGGAACCTCCATACTGTTTTCCATAGTGGCTGAGCCAATTTACATTCCCACCAACTGCACAACTTGTCAACTTACATAGATGGTGAAATATCAGATCCTTCTCAGACCCTCAAAGTAAAATTATTTTATACTGGTAAAATTTCATATGTACTGCTCATTGGGCTTTTCAAAGAGAACAATGTATACACCTATGATATAGAGTAACATTGTAATAAACAAATAAATGTATTAAGTTTTGAATAGATTCAATTTATTATATCATTATAGTATAACAATTACTTTATATGTACAGATCTCTTTATTTCTCATTTGTAATGACAAGAATTTGGTTAGGTTGCTTTGGTTATAGTAATAGAAACAAAACTACTTCTAGTTTATGCAAAAAGGAGAATTCATTGTAAAATTACAAGGGTATCTTATCAAAGCCAAGAACAACAGTTAAAAAGAGGCCTCTGGGATGGTGGCCAATAGTGGAAATCAAATCTTACTGTCTTAAGCAAAAAGGAGAGTTTATAATTAGGATTCAAGGGTGTCTTATCAAGCCAAGGGCAGGCTTCATGAAGGGCTGGAACAAGGGAATAGAGCACTGTTAGAAAGCCAAGAATCCTGTTCTCCTGATCTCTCATCTCTGCTTTTCATTTTACAAATGCTTCATTGCTCTCACTGCAGATTTGCTGGTGTTTTCCCAAATCACAAGGTGGACCTGGCAGCTCATAGCTCCCCAGTTTATGGTTCCTCTATTCCAGCGACTGGTCAGACCAAGGCTACAGTTACTCTTATCTCTAAGCCCAAATTCCTAGGGAAGTTTTAGTGTCCTACTAATATTAGAGATAATTTCCTTCACTGAGATGGGCAGCAAAACAAGTTATGGAACACTGGGAGACAGAAACCAGTTAATTTTTTTTACTGCTCCTTAAAGATCTTGAGGTAAAATAGCTTTCCTAGATTTAGGGGTGGATATAAGGATGTGTCTTCACAACCCATAGTCAACCTGTGTAGAAATGACCAAGTACTTCAAGAGAGAGAGGTGTTCTAATCCTTGTTAATATTTCTCGTGGGACAGAAATGATAGGCCTTGATAATGCTACTATCTGATTCAAGACAAGTTTTTTTATTTATTGTTATAAGTATGATTTAACTATTGGGAAGACATGCACAAGTCTTGTTTTGAGTAATTGAAGCACAGAAGGTAATACCGTACTTGTTAATAATTGTTTTTCCCAAGAAAGAATAAAAAGGACTAGTTACATGGAGAATATTTAGGAGAAAGGGGGGAAAAAAGATTACATGATGGGTGTCAGAAATCCCTGAAGAACCATAAGTAGAAATTTGGCCAAGGGTCTCTCAGATTGGAGAGGAACTCCAGTTTATCTAGCTTGAGTCAGGTGCCTGTGAACATAGCTGCTTCCATTTTCATCATAGTGGAGTGAGGTGTGAGGGGCCATTCTGAGAAACAGACATAGGACAGGAGAAAGAAAATTATTTTCTGGATTCTTCAGAGTGTTCCAGGCGCCCCTAGACAAACAAAATTATATTACTTACCGAAATCATGGCATAATAAGATTTATGTATTTAAAATTCAGAAAAGCTGAGGGAGGTATTCCACCCAGCCCTATCCACATTGAAATAAAACTGAAAATGTCAAAAGCATAAGGAAATGCTGTGAATATTTTATTTAAAAATATATTTGTGTTGAAGATTTCTTAAAGTATTTCTCCTGTATGTTTGAAATACATTTGTATTATTTATTATGTCCTTTGATGAGATACAAGGAGTTAAGCTTAATTAATGTTCATGATATCATTTTAGTTCTTTCTGTAATTTTCTTTCTAGAAATAAGAATCAGCAAGGGAAGTAGGACCACTATGGTAAAGAACAAAAAAAAAAGCCATATTAGCATGGATGTGTTAAGAAACTCAGAAGCTGGTGATTCACTTTTAACTTTACATGATTTCAGTGTATACGAAGTTTTTTTTTTTTTGCTTGTCTGTTTGTATATACAAAGTTTTAAAAGAAAAAAGTCATTCCATATCATGTTGAAGGTTTTGTATTTCAACCTCTTTATTTCTTCATGAAAATATTTCCTTAAGGCTGTCATCTGTTTGATCATCTTTAAGTGTCATATTCAGTACATTTTCAGTACATTCTTCTAATGGGATGGTTGACAGGTATGAAAATACTTTTTCAATTAGAGGTTCGCTGAGAAAAGGCATTGGAGAGCTCGTTTTCACTAAGGAATCATCAGAAAACCAGCCATCAGCTGCTTCTATACTTTGGCTGTAGCAAGAATCAGATGGTATTGTTGATAAGCTTAAGGTAACACTGTTGGGGTTTATTGCTGAGCTAGTCTCTGAAGGGTCACAAACGACCTTTTTTGTTGCAAGGCAGAATTCATCTTTAGAGTGATCTTTAATTGCTGTAAAAGAAAATAAGATTTACTAGGCATATTACATATTCATGAGCCAAATCTTAATTATACGGACAATATTTCATTTTAAAATTTGTACTCCTTTTTAGGGTTATAGTAGACAGGATGATGAGACAGTGAAAGTTTTGAGTTGCTATCATTATTTGTACAATGGCAAATATGTTAAACGAGCAATATTTTCATGATAATCAACAATAGAAAAGTCTATTTATTCTAAGTAAAATTCTACCTATTTTAACAGATGATTTAAACAGCTAGAAATCTCAGTTCCCGCATGTCCCTTCAAATCAGAAAAGGCAGATAGTTTCTTAACTATTTGTAACTACATATTGCCTTATTTTAAAAATAAATTTAAAAATATACATGCCTCCTTGAGTAGGCAGATTACAAAATGTTTGGTCCATTTTGGGGAAAAGCCTATGGGTTGGCTTTATACAAATAAAAGTAACAACTAACATTCCTATAGTGCCTTACATTTACAAAGCAGTTTGATAGACTTCAATATCCCATTTAATCTCTCAGTAATTTTTCAAGGTAGTTATAATTTGCACCACTTTACGAAAGAGAAGACTGAGAATTGGAGAAACAACTCACCACAGATTAAATACAAAATGGACTTCAATCTAGATTTTTGTTACTCTAAGTCTCATGCTTCTCTCATTGTATTACTTATGCTGACGGTTGATATTAAAAAATGTTAAGTTTTAGAAAAGATCATATATACATATATACTATTCTAAAATATATTTAATAATATTTTGCATATTAACTTTTGATATTAAAGTGTAACATTAATTTTAAAGCTGTTTTAAATACCTTATTACATTTTATATTCAGTATTTCTAAAATTATGTAGGAGGATAATGTTTTGAATTACTAAGACATATTGTGCACTATCTAAAGGGTTACAAATCACTTAGCTCTTTTGACCCTCCCACATTACTATATGGCATTGACTATGACACCTTTGAGTATAAATAAGGGACAAAAATTAAAATTTCACATTTTAATTTATGACATTGTAATTTTTGTTTTTTGAAAATATATGCCTATTCACGTACTACTAAATTAATGTTCCCCTTGAATTTTCATGGTTTTTAAAAATACTTAGATAACATTTAGGAAAGCCTCGATTTTTTTAAGATGCGAATTGCTATAAGTTGATTATAATTTCTTCTAATAAGTGGTTGAGAAAAAGTACCTTTTATATGTGCTGTTTTCTTTTTTCTTTGCTCCTCCTATATAAAAAAAAGTTATTTGTATTTAAAAAATGGAATAGTTTTTATATAATTTCTTTAATATATTCAACTTATGTATTTATATAAGAATAACACATTTCAACATAATAAATTTTGATGGACTAGTGTTTTTTTCCACAATATGAATTTATTCCCCCAAATATATATTGGCAGAAAGGAAGAAATGTTGAGGTATTGTCTGAAAAGAAATTGGACTGGTTCAAGAAGGCAATTTCCAGGATAGGGAATGAAAGGGTGAAACAGTTCAACAGGATTACTTCTCTCCATCCTTACTTAGAGTCACTTGGTTAGAACTACAGAGGGCTAACAAAGTAATTAGAATTCCTAGACTTATTCATTTCATTAACCAACAACAACAACAAAATGAATTCTGGCCTAAGGCTCTTATAAAAATGTGACTCTTCTTTTGAAGCAAACAAAACATTTGCTTAAACAATTCCAGATGTGTTGTGAGCAGTGTGGTATAGTAGTTCTCAAACCTCAGGGCATCACAGTCACCTGGTGTGCTTGTTCAAATGATGATTCTCGGGCATAATATCAGCCCCTACTGAAACATTACCTGGGAGTGGGGAGCATGCATTATAACACACTGCAAGTGGTTCTGATTCACATTTTCCTTCAACTGCTAGAGAAACACTGAGTCAGTGCACAGGGCATTTGGGATGGAGCGGGTGAAGATGAGGCTGGAGAGATAATAACATTTTCTCGTGTTCTGGGGGATCAGTGTCAGTACTATGTGCTGAGATGCATTGTCCTTTTCCCCCTAAAAGGTTTGCTGAGGGTATACATATATAGGGTAACACATAAGCACGTTTTTCACAGCCAGCTTTACTTTGTCACTTTCACCTTTTGTTAATATAAGTGCCAGTATAGGCTGCCGAACTCACCTTGCCTGGATTTAGGACCAATTCGATTTGTGACTCCTATGTAAATTACATTAGAATATTGCTTCTCAGACATCCATGTGCCTATGTATTATCTGAGGAGCTTGTTAAAAATGCATATTCTGACTCATTAGGTCTGGGGTGGGGTTCTGAGAGTCTGCATTTTTATCTAACAGGCTCCCAGGTAAGGTTGATATTGCCAGTCTGGGAACCACAGAGTAAAGCCCTAGACTGATTAAAATTCTACCCAAACTAAGGGAATGACAAAATGGGTATTCTTATATATTGCTACATATAAATAGGTAGACTTTTTCTGGAGGGCAAGTTAACAAATCTACTTCTAGAATTTATTATGCCAAGTAAATAATTTTGGATTTGTGTAAATATTCAGTTAGTAGTATGCTTATCACAACATTGTTTAACATTTTTAAAACTTGTAACTTAAAATTCTAAAAGTAAGGAAACAGTTAAATGTATTAAGATACATAGATATTAATACAATGGCTATTCTTTCAACTATTAAAAATGATGCAATAGTATCAGAAGTAAGGACTCCAAAAATATGGGACATATTCAAAAGACAGAGGAACAATCTTGAAGGGGTGCACCCTGGTTAGATTTGGAAAAATTTAAGCATCAAAATAATTATATTAATGGATTATAATCTGCTGAATAAAATAGAAATCCATGAGCCTACACTGATAAATTAATTAATTAATTAATTAAGGAAGAAGTGAATACCTTCCTTACAATAGAAGCCAAATGACAAATGTGAATGGGAGTGGCAGAATTGAAAAAAAAATCATTAGTTTTGCTATAGTTTTATAAAGACTGGCTTAGGCAAGAATAATTTCTGTAGCTAGTAAGTAGAGTTTGATGAAAAGAAGGATATTTACATGGTTTCAAAATTTCACCACAGGTTATTAATTGCTAGGGTGAAAATAGGAATAATACAGTGGGGGAGGAGCAGACATTATCTTTTGTGAGTAACTAAACTCAGTGGTGAAGAGTAGAGAAAAGCTGTATGCCTTTATTTTTTTTATTATGTTTTATTTTTTCTGTCTATAAGCTTTTTAAATTAAATTTATTGGGCTGTTATAAAGTTATACATGTGTCTACCCAAGCCCCACCAATTTCATGCTAAGGTATTTTCCCAAGAAAAATGAAAAGGTATGTTCACTAAAAGTACTTGACTATTTAAAGCAGCCTTATTCATAGTAGTCAAAAGCGGAAAACAAGCAAATCCATCAACAAGAGAATACATAAACTAATTGTTGTATACTCATACAGTGAAATACTACTTATCAATAGAAATAATGAAATTCTAATACACACAATAACATCAGTGAATCCCCAAAACTTGTGTTAAGTGAAACAAGTGAGTTATAAAAGATATATATTCTTCCATTTGTATGAAATCTAGGAGTGGATAAAAACTAAACTTTATTGACAGAAATCAGAAAGTGCTTAACTAAGAAGGGTAGAGAAATTGATTGGAAGAAGACAAGAGGGAACTTTTTCAGATGAAAAAATGTTCTGTATCTTGTTTTGGATATTGGTGGAATGTATATATATAATTGTCAATGTTCATTGGGTGGAACATCTAAGGTCTTTCTAATGTAGATAATTATACATTAATAAAATATTTTAAAACATATCAATTTCACTTCAGTGGTATTAATTCCCCAAATCCCAAATCCATAATGCCAATATAATAATGTGAAAAACATCAGGTAAACCCAAATTCAGGGACATTTTACAAAATATACGACCAGCATTCCTGAAAACAGTAAAGGTCAGGTAAAACAAAGAAAGACTGTTACAGAGCAAAGAAAATTAAAGAGACAAATGCAATGTGGTATCTTGGACTAAGTCTTTTTTTTTCCTAAGAGTTTTATTAAAATATAGCTAACATATGATACTGTATTAGTTCCAGGGGTACACCACAGTTATTCAACATTTATATACCTAAGCAAGTGATCACCACAATAAGTTGAGCAACTATCTGACACTATACCATGCTATCACAATATTACTGACTATATTCCCTATGCTGTATATTATATCCCCATGACTTATTTGTTTTATACCTGGAAATTTGGACTTCTTATTCCCCTTCAACTTCCCCCCCCTTTTTTAATTTTTCAATTACAGTTGGCATTCAATATTATTTTATATTAATTTCAGTTGTATAGTGTAGTGGTTAGATATTTATATAATTTACGAAGTGATCCCCCTGACTAGTCTAGTACCCATCTGTCACTATAGAGTTATTACCATATCATTGACTATGTTCCCGAGGCTTTATTTTACATGCCCATGATTATTTTGTAACTATTGATTTGTACTTCTTAATCCCATCACCTTTTTTACTCTGTCCACCAACCCCCTCCAACCTATCACCCCAACAAATCTAGTACCATACATAGTTATTACAGTATCACTGACTATTGGATTAGGTCTTGAAGGAGCAAATTACATTTGTGTAAAAACTGGTGAAATCTGAATAAAATCTGGAATTTAGTTATTAGTAATGTACCAATGTTGGTTTCTCAGTTTTGGCAAATGTACCATGGTAATTTAAATTTTAACACTAGGGGAAACTGGGTGAAAGGTATTAGAACTCTATTATCTTTGCAATTTTCCTAAAACTCTAAAATTATTCTAAAATAAAAAAGTTTACTTAAAAATCATATTGCAAAAACATAAACATATGCATTTTCTTGTAGTGAAAATTAATATAAGATGCACAAGGCTTTTATGAAGGTAATTATAAAGCTTTATTGAAAGATATTAAAGATAGCATATATAAATACAGAGAAATATCATGTTCATGGATTAGAAGCTTAATATTATAAAGAATCAGTTTTTCCCAAATTGATCTAAAACTGCACTGCAGTTCCCCCCCAAAATTCCAAAAGAATGTCAGTAAATGCTTCTATTAATAGACAGTTGGGCAAACAACTTTTTATTCATCAAAACACACCATAAAAATAGTGAAAAGGAGAGCCATAAAATAGATGAAGATATCAAAATTAACTGACAAAGGATTAGTTATCCAGAATTACTCTTAAAGTTTTAAAAAAAATTAACAGAAAAAGAGGTGACATTTGAAGATGCATTTTACATAAGAGAAAACCATAATGACCAACAAACTTTAGAAAAGACAAGCACCTCATTTTTATAATCAGAACATACAAATTAAAACTATAGTGAAATATCAAGAGAATGAGAAGACTAGTCACAAATTGGATAAAAATGTTTGCAAAAGACATATCTGATAAAAGAGTTTATTAAAAATATACAAAGAATTCTTAAAACTCAACTGTAAGAAAATGAACAACCCAATTAAAAATGAGCAAAAGAGGGGTGGCCAGTTAGCTCAGGTGGTTAGAGCTCAGTGCTCATAACACCAACGTTGCCTGTTTGATCCCGGCATGGACCAATGAGATGCTCCCTCCACAACTAGATTGAAACAACTACTTGACTTGGAGCTGATGGGTCCTGGAAAAACACACTGTTGCCCAATAAAATTTTTTTTAAAAATGAGCAAAAGATTTGGACACCTCACCAAAGAAGATATACAGATGGCAAATAAACGTATGTAAACAACAAAATACCACTATATTCTTATTATAATGGTGAAAATCCAAAACATTGACTACCAAATGCTGGTGAGGAAGTGAAGCCACAGAAGCTCTCATTCATCGCTAGTGGGAATGCAAAATGATACAGCCATGTTGGCACAGTTTGGAAGTTTCTTACAAAACTATACACCTCTTCATCGCCTGATCCAGAAATCATTATCGCTGGCATTTACCCAAATGAATTGAAAACACATGTCCACCTGGATGTTTATAGCAGCTTTATTCATAATTGCCAAAACTTGAAAGTAACCAAGATGTCCTTCAGTAAGTGAGTGGATAAATAAATTGTTGTATCCGTATAATGGAATATTATTCAGCACTAAAACAAAATGTGCTATTGAGCCTTGAAGAGTCAGGGAGAACCTTAAATGCATAATGCTAAGTGAAAGAAGCCAATCTGAAAAGGCTACATATTATGTTTCCAACTATATAATATTCTGAAAAAGGC